GCCATCACCCACCCCAAGTACAGGTACGGCCTCCTCCAGGCCTCCAAGCCCACCTCGGGCACGGAGGGCCTGAGCCTGCAGAGGAAGGCAGAGGTTATCTGTCTCTCTCTGGTTTCTTGTATGTATATTAGTTGGGGGGTCATGAACATCTTGGCACAGCCAGTCACACCGAGAAGGGCCTGCAGTTGGCCTGTCCCCTCTTCTTTCCCGTATCCTACAAGGGAGGAAGCCAGTCCTAACCACAGAGCTATGTCAGAAAGCAGCCAGGGTGGGGTATTAGCAGTACTTCCTGCGCAAAGGCAAGCCCCCAGACTGTGAGATCCTGCAAAGACCCCAGCAGGGCGTCCTTGCTTCCACCAAGGGCCCTGGCAGCATCCTGAGGTCCTGTGGTCAGGTTCGAGCTTTACTGAGAAGAATGACAGCCAGGCACTGCTGTGGGCCCCGAGAGTCATTTTCAGCTAATCTGCTGGTGCAGACCTCAGTCAGTCCAGGCTATAGTACTTAAGTGTGTCCACGGCACCCATTCCCAGAGATGTGGCCTAGGGCAACCACATTAGGACTTGAAGCGATGTCTGCTTGGTTAGACCCACTACCCCAAGGCTCTCCCTTTGTGTTTACCACACCCTGGAGCTGTTGTTAATCCCATCAGCCCTGGGAGCCCATCAGCCTCTTACCTAGCTGTCTGTCTGTCCCCATTACCAGCATCTGTCTGTTCACCAGCTCTAGCCCTGTATCAGTCTGTCCTTCCCTCTTCCCTGCCATGTCCCTTCACTCTAACCAGACATGTGACTTCTGCAGGGCAGCCATTGCCCAGCACCTGCCCTGCCTCGGGGTCCTTCTTGGAGTGTCGGGCCAACACAGGCATCCCTCCCTCAGCTACCGCTCTACCCATCGCTCGACACTGAGCAGCCAGTCCTCCGACCTCAGCTGGATCTCTGGACGGAAGCGTCAAGAGTCCCTGGGTTCTGAGAGTGAGGTGGTAAGGATGCTGGGCCCTCATTGGCTGGTACCTCACCTTTCCTTTCCCGGCCAGCCCTCAAGGACCTGGACCTAGGTGGCAAGGCCACATATTAGACTGGGGGACACTTCACCTCTTCTAACCTCCAGTGTGTCACCCTCCGTGACAACCAGGAATACCCAGACAGAGAGGGGATGGGTGGTATGAGGTCACCCAGCAGTCTAAACAGGGGCTTTCTAAGTCACCCCTTTCTCCATGGCAAGAGCTGACCCAGGGTCCTTGCTCCTTAGCACTCAGCCACCACCTTACAGGAGGTGTGAAGAGCTACAAGTTGCAGGAAAGGGGGCGGCACTAGCCTGGGATCAGACCTGGCTTCAAGCCTTGGCCCACCACACGCTCACTGTGTGATCTGAGAGCCAGCACGACTGGACTGCCCAGCTCTTTTCCACCGCTCATCCTTGAGGCCTTCCGTTAAGCTGTAGAGCTTCCTGGGGGTCTCTATACCACTAGCAGAAAATGAGGAGTCTGTCTTCTTTGCTAACCAAGGCCTTGACTCTCATGAAGACCACCTATCTAAATACCCACGTGCTTAAGCAGGCAGACACTGCCAACACGGGTAGTATTTTCCTGGGCTTTGGTGACCACAACTTTGCAAATGATGTCATGGGTCCCTATCACTGAACGCCAGTGTGGAGGCTGGAGCGCAGGTGGGGGTGGGGTATGAGTATGCTGTAAGTTTGTCCTCTCACCTCCCCAGAGGTGGACAGAGACAGAAACAACAGCTGCGTGGGGAGCTGCCCAACAAGCAAGTGGACCACCCTCCTGTAGTCAAGACCTGGAAGATAAGGAAGTCAAAGCTCCTTCCAGCCCCCAGGTACAGAAATCCAAGACTCCCAGGGTGCTTGGACCTAGTACCTGCCAATCTGTGAAAGGGTAGGGAGCCAGGCCAAGTAGCCTAAGAAGTGGCCAGAAAGGCAGGCTTGCACTGTGAACAGACCTCTCAGCATCACCCCTTCCCATACACCCCAGCTTTGCCTTGTCTGCCTGGAGGGCTCTGTGACTCCCAGACATCCCTAGCAGGGCCCGAGCATGGTCTATGACCGGGGGAGGATGTGCACGTGACTGTGTAGCTGTGTGTGCGTGAAGTGCTGTTGGCATGTTGTGCCATGACAGCTGCAGAGTTATAATTGTATGTGCTCATGAAGGTGTGCGATCTGCATCAGAGAACGGCTCACGCATAGGGACCCATGTTCCTGGCACATGCTGTCTGTCACTGTGGTGCCTCTGTGTTGTCTGGGTGATGGGGTGTAGATGGCATACCTTTTTGTGTGATTTTAGTGCTGGACCTACCTGGGGTGGGCGCTGCAAGCTGTGTAAGTGCTCACTGCCAATGCCCTGAGCTCAAGATGTCACCCGGAATATGCGTAGCTATAAAAGGAAGACCAGCTGTCAGCCCCAGTGCCTATGGAATGTCGATGGTGCTAGAGAAGGCCGTATTTTGGAACCCTGGAAATGCCATGAGCACAGGCGCTCAGGCAGCCCCTCCCCTCAGCTGGCAGCTCCCCTGCGCTCCTCTCTCTTACACACAGTCCCTATCAGCCACTGGGTATTATTCTGGGCCTTCCTTAGCCACTCTGGGATCATGGGTGTGTCCTGTCTTCCATGCTATGCTGCTTCCCTATGCCTGGTGCTGCTTCTGCAGTTGGGGAGCTCCTGCCCCCCTATGTTGTATCCCAGGTGCTATGCACAGCCACAGAGGCCGGTGCAGAAGCCTGACAGTGGCCTATGGTGATCGGGGAATGGTTGAAGACGTAATATCTATCCTGGATGGAGGCAGGACCATGGGGAGGGGTTTTTAGCATGGAGGGTCAGCCATCAGCAGTTGACAAACACAAGTGATCAGCACTGCCATCAAGTCACAGGCACACAAAGAAGTCGGGCGGGGGTGGCGCACGCCTTTGATCCCAGCACTCGAGAGGCAGAGGCAGGTGGATCTCTGTGAGTTCGAGGCCAGCCTGGGCTACAGAGTGAGTTCCAGGAAAGGCTCCAAAGCTACACAGAGAAACCCTGTCTCAAAAAACCAAATAATAATAATAATAAATAAATAAAAATAAAAAATAAAAATAAATAAACAAATCGAACCCTGGGCTTCCCTGGGGGAAGGGGTTGAGCTGTCTGTGTGAACATCCTCAGTGATCACAGTTGGGCTCAGTCAAAGGAACTTGGTGTCCTGGAACAGTGTGTGTGTGTGTGTGTGTGTGTGTGTGTGTGTGTGTGTGTGTGTGTGTGTGTGTGTGTAGAGGGAGAGACAGAGACAGAGACAGGCTGACTTTGAGAGCATGCAATGAGACCCTGGGGATAACATTGGGGATGTAGAAAGGAAGGGGGCAGGTGGTAGGAGTGACGATCTGGGTAGGGGTCTCCAGACTCTAGGGAACAAAGAGCCAGAAAGGGGCCTAATCACCTTGCAGTATAACCAGGCTCTTCTGATGTGGCCCCAGGGAGACTGTGGTGGGTACAGTAAGCCTGTGAGGTATACTGTCATAGGAGGCCAGTGCTACAAGGCAGGAAAAGGGTGAGTGAGTGAGTTAGGGATAAAGGGCTGCCGGACCTCACACATACGGGATTGCAGAAGGAAGATAAACTGGGGTGGGAGCATGGGAGTCTGAGCCTCAGGAGTCCAAGGGCCTAAGGATGATATCCCAGGGGTTATCCTGAAAACAGCCTAAGCCTTTTATGGCTCCTTGTTTGAGGTGTGATCCTTGAGAAGGTCCACCCCAACCTTGACCACAGCCTGGCCTTTTTTGTTTGTTTGTTTGTTTTTCGAGACAGGGTTTTTCTGTGTAGTTTTGGTGCCTGTCCTGGATCTTACTCTGTAGACCAGGCTGGCCTTGAACTCACAGAGATCTGCCTGCCTCTGCCTCCGGAGTGCTGGGACTAAAGGTGTGCACCACCACCGCCCAGCTCAGCCTGGGCCCTTCTACGTAGTTACCTTCACCTGTCAGTATTCTCAAATGTGAAGAGGCATCAGAAGGCTGCCCCTGTGAGACAATCCTAGAGATGAACAGATGTGTACTGTTTATTTTCAGACCAAGGGACAGCTCCCTAGCCTGGACCTTGGGATGTAGGATGCCCACTGGCCCTCCCTTTCTTCTGCTACTTGTCCAGCCCATCGCCTCCCTATCACATGCACAGACCTGGGATTATCTCACAAGCCTGGAAGCTCTGGAGGTGTCACTGTTACCTGTGCTACACTGGACGCACAGCTCCGGCCCCTTCCCACACTGTAAAACTCCTGCCTTGAAGCGGGTCCGCACTACTCAGCTCGGCAGCCACACCGGGGCTCTGCCCGAAGCAGGGACCCAGGCTCTCTCTCCTGCTTTGCTTCCAGCCGCCGCTGCCGCCTCTCCTCAGACACTGTATGCTGCAATTGTCCAGACAATGACAATAGCGATGGCACTGGGGACTCATCAGTTATTTACGAGCTGAGCATCTTGGCTAGCCTTTGTGACCCGGCTGGACAGCTCATTGGTTCAGAAAGCTCAGCCCAGCGTCCCCTGCTGCCAGTGGTCAAAAGTGGAACACAGACTTTACTTTGCACACTAGAAACACTTCTTCACCTCAGGCTATCCCCTAGCATTCACACTGCGGCCCACACTCACATGTACATGGGCACTGGCAGGCACTTAGGTACCTATCTGTATGCACACCAAGCACATGTATGCGCACCCTGCCCTTGCTCATTGTTTCGTGTCTAAGTTCCTTCCAGATGTGGATCTGACAGGGCACAGAAAAACAATAAACAGGGTCTCTTGTGATAAATATGTCTACTGGTGCTTCTGTGGAGAAGAGACCTGGGCCTGGTCTCCATGTCTCCAGCAACTTCTTTCTCCCTTCCCTAGCGACTCTCACTCCTGAAAACCCATTTCAAACTGTAGGAGAGCAAAACAGAGGCGGGACAAAGGCCGTTTGCCCCCCCCCCCGCCCCGCCCCGCTCCTCCCCAGGGAGATGTGGAGCTCCGCCCAGCCCATGGGTACCAGCTGCTCTCCAACTGGCTTCGGGTCTCCCAGGGGAGGCAGAGGGAGGCTGGCCTGCCCCTTTAAGAACATCTTCCCACCACCCCTCCCTTACCCAGAAGCAAGTCATCAGGCAGTGCCAGACTCCAGAGAAAGAGCCTTCGGCTCCAGGTCAGCCTTGCTCGGGCTCCAGGGCCAGGGTCAGCCCTTTCTTTCTGGTTATGCTGTGTGGCTGGATCTTCCCCAGCTGGGATGGACAGAGGGGCCTGGGGGACAAGGCCAGAGCTAGGGATAGATGGGGTGGTGTAGAGGATGGGATGGGATGGGATGGGATGGGATGGGATGGGATGGGATGGGATGGGATGAGATGGGATGGGATGGGATGGGATGGGATGGGATAGGATGGGGCAGGGTGCTGACCTCCTAGCCCATGCAGGTGGAGCTGCATGGTACAAAGAGGAGGTAGCAAAACAAAGGGAAAGAGGGCAAGTCCCTCCCTGGCTTCCGCCACTTGCTATTTTTGTGACCTCAAGCAAATTATTAAGTGACCCTGCAACATCAGCACTCTTATGTGCCCTATGTACGCCGGGCTCAGAGTGTAAGGCTGGAGTTGTGGCAGCTAGGAAATTACTTACATCCAGGCCTGCATTGAGTCCTCCAGGTTAGTGTCTTTGAGAAGGCCAGCAAGAAGCCAACCCATCATCTATCTTCCCTGAACCTCAGTTTCCCAAGCTGGAAGCCAGAGTGAACCTCCATCTGTCTCCAGACTACATGAGATCTGAAGTCTTTCTTGAGGGGAAGACAGGCTTCTAGGGGCATCTTAATGAGAATGGCGGCGTGCTGGTTGAAGCCCCAAAGGGCCAAGGCCCCTACCCAGAGCACACTGTCTCTGGGGTACAGGCTGAGCATGCCACACATGCTTCCCTTCCCTGTCCCTTCTGGCTCCATGTCCTAGCAGCTGAACAAATGGCACTTCTCCCTGCCCCCTGTCATTCCTGCGCAAAGGGCATGGAGCCTGGCGCGCAGTGCTGGCAGCTGTAGCTTTCCATGCTGCTGTCAAGTTTTCCAGGGCACAAATGAGACGGGCGAGCCAGGAATAACTGCCTGGGCCCCAGAGGGTCTGGAGGGGTGGGACAACCCCAGACCTGGCTTTAGACCTTCTCCCCAGGGGTCAAGCAGCACCCCCTTCCCCAGGCCAGGGCTTTGGAAGATGTCTACAGCCACTAGGAGCCATCATCTGACATGAGTCTCATTAAAATGAGTCCAGGCTCCAGTGGGACCCAAGTCCATTCCCTGTGTGACCTTGGAGAATGTTGAACTTCTCTGAGCCTCAGCTCTTACAGTCCAAGGTGGCAGCCCCATAGGACCCCAAGGAAACCGGTGTGAAGGGCCCTTTTCTGAACTTGGCCATGTTCAAAGTACTACCATTACATGGTCATTTTTATGTCTGGTCCCATAAAAGTGACCCGGGAGCCAATCAGCACTCTTCTGAACTGAAGATTTTTCAGACCTGTGGAGGCTAAGCTAAGTCCAAGGCCCCGCAGGGCCCCACGATAGATAAGGGACCAAATCGTGGTCCTTCCCAGAACAACAGAATAGCAAAACTCCTACCCAGAAGAGGATCCAGAGTGGACCCACTGATTAGAATAAGGGTGCGTGGGCTCTGCAGAGGGCACAAAGGGGGCCCGGTCCTCCCTGCCTATCCCTTGGGGATGTGTGTTCTGGGTGCCTGACACCCCTCCCCAGGGACTATATTAACTGTGTGAGTCATGGTGGACTGGCTGGGAGGCCACAGGCAGGCGGGCCCAGTGTAGGGTTACAGTCCATTTATGGGCGCACCAAGGGCCGATATCAGTGTCGATGGCATTCACTCTCAGCTATTCTTAGGAGCCTCCCAGGAGCTCTACACAGCCTGGCCAGGCAGCAAGGGACAGAGCAGGCAAGGCCAGGGGTCGGGGTTCTGGGGCCGGGAACAGAGCTAGGAGCAGAGATATGGGCTGGAAAGACAGGGTGCATGAGCGTCCTCTTACCTGACTCTTTGTACTATTTGTCTGCAGAGAAGGTCACCGCTGTCAGCACCAGTATGTCCTACAGTGTGACTCTGACAGGGCCCGGGCCCTGGGGCTTCCGTCTGCAGGGAGGCAAGGACTTCAATATGCCCCTCACTATCTCCCGGGTAAGTGCACATTGCCCACAGCCTTATTCCCAAAGGGGCAGGGCATTCTTGGAAGAGGGCATGCTCATGTCCATCTGTCTGTCAGTCAGCCTGCCTGTCTTCCCCAGGGCTCTTGGAAAGCGGAGCCTGCCCTATTCCTGGTCTGGAGTCTAGGACTGGACTGGTCTGCTCTTGGCCACAGCTGGATTTGCTCCCCCCAGCTTGCTCCCTGGACTTTGCCCACCTAAGCAAGATGTCATGGGCAAATAGCTGGCATTTTGAGCAGAGGAGGAAATGCTGAGTTTGCAGGGTGGGTAGGCTTGTGGGCAGAGAGTGCGGGGCCTCCCTAGGCCCTTCACTAGCAGGTATTCCCAAGCTTGGAGTCCCTCCCTAAAAACAGGTAGCTGCTTAGGAAAGAACACTGCCAGCCTAAGGCAGGCGGGTACCAGGCAGGCGGGTGGACAGGTTGTTGTCCCTGTTGTTGCCTTGCTGTCATGATGTAAGTCCAGGCTAGACTGGTTGCTGGTCTCTAGTGTCCCCAGACCTAAGACACCAACCCCTCCTCTCCCTGCCATAGTGGGCCTGGCAGGAACCTCCCACCACCTGGCTCTTGGGCTGAGCATGTCTCCCTCATTTGAGCCCAGGGGTGCCTGTCTCACACCTTTGCCCCGCTAGGCTGGGGTAAGGGCCCCTGGGTCTTGTAGTATATGGTGAGAAACAGCTCTGCCCAATGGAAATGGCACCGAACCTAAGGTGTTATGAGGGCAGTTCCCAGTGGTTGGAGAAACTGAGGCCCAGAGGTAAAAAGTAGCCATGCTTGAAAGGAAGAGAGGAGGGTCTTTTTTTTTTTTTTTTGGTTTTTCGAGACAGGGTTTCTCTGTGTAGCTTTGCTCCTTTCCTGGAACTTGCTTGGTAGCCCAGGCTGGCCTCGAACTCACAGAGATCCGCCTGGCTCTGCTTCCCAGTGCTGGGATTAAAGGCGTGTGCCACCACTGCCCGGCGAGAGGAGGGTCTTTATTGCTATAGTCCAAGCACCTGGGCCATGCCTGTTGCTATCGGCTCAATACTTGTTAGATAAGCACCCTACAAGTGCTGGTAGATCTGGGATGGAAGGCCTCATGGCTTAGGGTACTGAGAAGCACACAGGGAACAAGTATAACCTGCTTGGTGGCTGAGCCCCTGGCAGGACTGATCTGGGCTGGCTTAAGGGGCAAGGTTAGACTCCAGGATGTCACTGTGAAGTTGGAGGGTGGAATCAGGTATAACTGGATAGCTGTTTCTTCCACAGAGTGCCAGAGACTTGCCTCAGACCTGGGGCTAGCACTCAGGGGTAGTGGAGAAGCCTGGAAAGCGCTTGATGGAGGGTCAGGGCCCAGTATTTCCACTGAAGCAATCTTGGTCCTTAGACTACCTTTAAGCTGGGCACTTAGAGTAGCCTTTGGGGAAGGATGTTGTCCTCACCTCTCAGCTGCAGATCTGAAGTCTCTGCCCTCCAGACCTACTGCCCTGAAAACCACAGGGCCCCTATTAAGAGGACACCCTAAACCATGTACATTCTGCTTGACGATGTGGTGACATGTGGGTATGTGAGTCCAGTGGCTACCCCAACCCAGGCTCTGCACAATCCCCACCCCCATGGCTACGAGTTTCCTCCCTGTATAAGATGGGGCCTTTCGAATCATCCTCCTGTGCCCTCCGGCCTCCTATGCCTAGGATTGAGCCCACCGTCCCCAAGGCTCATTGCTGGTGTGCCCTGCTCTGTCTAATGGGAACAAATTCATCTCCAGGATCAGTGGCACCCAGAAAAGCCAATGACCTCACTCAGGACCTATGCACCACCTGGCCCCGGATGGCCAGGGCTTAAATGGCAGCACAGAGGCTTTAAGCTAGACAGCAGGAAGAACATCCTCATTCAAAGAGGGGGTAGTTGGGGTGTGCTGGAAGCTAAAGCTAGGGAGACATTTAAAAATAGAAGCCAGGGCATTGGGAGATGGGCCCTTTTCTGATACATACCTCAAATCACCTGGAGCAGGGTGGCCTGAGCAATCGTGTTCAGGTCTCCTGAAAAACACAACTAGTGGGCCACAGATACAGTGGGCTTTGGCACCCCCGGCTTGGGCATTTCAGGCCCAGTGCTGATGTAAGACAGGCTCCGTGAACACTAGGCCTGTGGCATTTGCTGCCGAGGCTTACAAGTACCTTCTGGACCAGAAACAGTCCACTCGCAGAGACACAGCACCAGGACTCTGCTCATCTTCAGCAGTCCCCGGCTTCGGGCACAGTCACTGCAATTGTGAGGGGTGATCAGGCAGGAAGTCTGGGGTTACCAACTTGGAGCCCAGCAAACTAAGGCTTGCACGGCATAGAGATGCCCATGGGTAGCACTCACGTGCCCTGGCACGGCTTAACTCCCACGCCTGGTCCTTTGCCTGTCAGTCTAGGCACTGGGGGAAGCTGGCCTCTCTCAAAAGCAGGCATGTGTTCCTCCCAGGAAGAGCAGCTGCCACCTGCATGCTGGGTGATAGCTTGGCTATCCCCTTGCCCACAGCCTCCACACAGGCACTATGACGTCAACCTGAGCAGAAGACCCCCCCGCAAGACCCTCATTCAGTGAGCTTAAGCCTGAGAATCTGCAGAGATGGGGTTCAGGAGGGACACTCTAGGGAGGGGCGCAAATGCCTTTATTTATCCTGGACAGGTGCAGAGGCCTGCAACCTGAGCTACCCTCTCCTCCACCCCTCCCCTACCTTAGCCAGTTCTCCATGAAGCAGAGTTGAGGAAGCAGATCAACAGGTCCAGCCCTCACCGGGACCTCTGCCTCTGGTCAGATGCTGGAGCTAGGTGTGGGGCCTTGCCCCCTCGTGGCTGTGGCACCCTCCGCCTTAGGAAAGAAGCAAGTGTCTTTGTTCAATTCTAGCACAGCCTGGATTGTCTCACCTGTGAAATGGGACAGTGCTGTCCACACTTGGGAGAGTGCAAGTGTGGAAAGGAGGCTGGCTATGAGGCTAGTGTGCAAAGGGGCTGTGGGCTGGGTCAGGCCTGCCTCCTCATTGGAAGGCCTTTGCTCTCAGGACCTCCATCCTACCTGGCAGGCTTGCCTGGGCTACAGTCCAGAGGCCTTCCGCCTCCCCTCTGGTTTCAGTTTCAGCATTATTGAACTCTCCTAGCTAAGGTGGGGACGCTGAGAGCAGAGAACCCGTGGGAAGAGAACGGAGGACAGTGTGAGACTATTCTGGGGGGTGGCTGTGCTGGCAATTCCTGGAATTTCTAGGCCCCTGGAGCGAAGCATCTTGAGCTGTTCTCGGCAGCGCCTAGCAGTGCTGACAGGCCGTGCTGTTTATAGCTCTGTTGAAGGTCAGGCAACCAGCTATCTAGCTGGAAGATAAGGAACAGTCCTAGCTGGAGACTGCATTCTTAGAGGTGCATCTCTCCAGGTCCTCCTGTGACTCAGACTCACCTCTGACCCCTTGAAGGCCCTGAAGGAAGCAGACCAGAGGCCCACTAGGTCCTAGGAGGGGTCCTTGTAGGTTCCCGAATCAGAACACAAGCCAAGGGCATCTCTATGGGCAGACAGAAATCGGGGCAGATGCTATGGGGAGACGGGAGACTGTGGGGACAGCAGATATGAGGTGTACAGAGGCACCAGGGACAAGAGGAAATCTCCTGATTGTGAAGGCCCTCAGGTCCTTACCTCCAGGCTTCCCAGTCCCAAACATGGCTTCTCCACTCTGCTGGAGCCAGGGTCCTGCTTTCATGGGAACCACTCTTGGAAGCACGTAGCCATTTTTCCAGGGCCAAGTACATACAAGAATTACAGGGCAATTTGTTGGAGAAACAGAGAGGAACAGTGTCAGAACCTGGAGAAATAGAGGAAGACCTGTAAAATACACACACGAGAGAGAGAGAGAGAGAGAGAGAGAGAGAGAGAGAGAGAGAGAGAGAGAGAGAGATCATTAGTATGTGTGGACAATTAGTTGCCAAGGCCAGGTGTTAGAGTGTGTGAGAGATGGGATATAGAGGAGTGGGGACCTGTGGTCACTTCTTGAGGGAACTCTGAGAGCAGAGAAGGGAGAGAGGTGAAGTGGGAGCCATTTGGACGAGCAAAGCAGGGCGTAGGAGAGCTTGGCTTATTTATACGGCAGAGATGGAATAGAGGTTGAGACCTCTGAGAGACAGAAGTTTCCAGAAAAAGGCCAAGGACTGGGTCAAGGCCCCAGGGGAAGCCAGATGGGGAAAGAGCCAGCCTGGCACGTGGTAATTTAATCCCACAGGGTTTAAATGCACTGAGGACTTTAGGGGAAATCCCTGCCAGGCTTCAAAGAAGGGCCTGGGAAGGTTTCACTCCTTCTCGGCCTGTTACCTGCCCTTAGCCAGCTCCACCCCACCTGACAAGTCACACGGAGGAGGAAGGCAGGGCCTATGTGCTTCTGAATATGGGGAGGGATGCTAAAAATGCCTGCAGAGTCCAGGTGCCCCAGAGAGGCTGCCGGCTGTCCTCCCTGCTTCCAGGGAGCTAGCGGGTCAGGAGGTCGTGGCATGGGAGCTTTGAACCGCTGCATGGCACCTTGTTTCCCTGAGACCCTGGACAGAATCCCTGCTATTCCACCACACCCTTCTAGGAATAGTAGGCTTGCTCAGGACTGGTCACTGGGGGCTGACCCCTTGCCTTCCACCTTCTGTCCACTCTGTCTTGTTTGTCATGGAACCCTGGGGTACAGCCATACTGATCACACACTGCTGTGCCCCAGTGAAATCCTTGACTTCTCTGGAGCTTCTAGGGAGAAGGAGGTTAGAGTCAGAACTTAAGCTCCCTTGGATTGGAGATTCCATCAAAACCTTCTCAGCTCTGCAGCATCCTTATGTCACAGCCTATTTGATAATGTAATCCTTGCCCTGCGCTCTGGGCACTCACTGGAATGTGTGAAGTCAACCAAAGCAGGCTTAAGTTGACCCATTCCATTGTCCACATGCTTTCCTTTGTCAGCTTCCTCCTAGGCATGACAGTGGCCATGACATCAGCTACCCTTGGGCTGCCTCCGGAGAGTGGGCTGTGCCTTGCAAATCAGATGTGTCCTCTTGAGCACCATGGCATTTATTCCTCTGTTGTCCTTGCCCAGCTTACACATATGGGGTCTAGAAGAGGAGTGCTCTGGGCACGAGGTGGTCAGGGTTTAGGAAGACACCTGGGACTTCAAAGGCTGGTGACAGCAGGTAGTCTTGTTGTGTCACCCACAGTGTGGAGGACAGTGCTTCTGGGACCAGCTATGTGGGATTTCTTAGGGTCACAGCCCAGCAAGCAGGGCCTGAGTGGCTAGTCTTGGCCCAGTTTGTCCTTGGTGTCCCACCCTGAGGCCCCTCTAGGCTCTGCTTAGTGTTCAGATCGACACTGAAAAGTGACTGTCGGCTTGAAACAATTGAAAAGTTAGATAGGAATGAAACACTCATCCAGAGAGAATTTCAAATGCTCAAAAAGATATAGAAAGACTTTTTTTTTTTAAAGCAAGTGTCTCCAAGAACGTGTGAGCTTTGAGTCTTTTCTGAGACAAAGTCAACAGAAAAAGAAGGTGTAAAGTTAGAGAAGAAACGTATGAGCTAAACTTTTTTCGTGAGCCCTGGGCTCTAGGCAACGGTCCAACAGTGCCAGTCCCCTCCCCTAGCCAGCTAAGGCTGCTCCTGTGGTGGAGGGAAGGGATCTGACGGTCCTTGGCTGTCTTTAGCATCCCTGCCTCCATCTGGCCTCCTTCTCTAAGGACACTTGAGCAGAAAAGAAGAACATCTCCCCATATGTGAATACCCCCTGCTTGAGGGACATTGAGCCCTGCTTAGGGCAGCCAAAGGCCAGGCCAGCTGAGCCCTGATGGGCAGACACAGATGCAGGGAGACTGATGCCAGGAACAGGGGGATCCAGCCTGGTGGCTCCCTCTGGAATGTTTGGCTACTGACCAGGCCCCTGGAGGAAGGATTACCCCAGCCCACACACGCCTGAATATCAGACAGGGCCAGGCACAGGGAAGAATAAGTACAAGTTGGCCACGCTCTAGGGAGAACTATGTCACCAGGCAGCTCTAAAGACATGGCATTCCTGATGGCCTGCAGCTGGCACTAGCTGACCAGGCCCGGCCTCCTTTGGATGTCATTCTGATGCCCTTGCTTACACTGTCATCATGATCTGAACACTCCCATCCTGCCCGGCAGTATCCCTTCTGGCTTTGGAGCCTCACCCTTCTGTGTGAGCTTGGTAGCTGCTTCCCTCTACCTTACCCCCAGACTATTTGCTACAAGAAGCAATTCCTTCTCCACAGATAGTTAGAAGCATCGGGGGTGTCGTCCTGTAGGGATGTCCTGCTATGGAGAGCATTTTAAGGGATGACATACCACAGGGCAGCTTTGCTCTGAGATATCTTTCCCTAGGAACGTCCTGCCACAGGGTAGCCGGCTGTGGGGCCTGGGCAGTCCGCTAGGACAGCGTGGTGCTGGAGGCTTTATCCTGGGTGTTTTCCTCTGCCTTTGAAGCGCTTCTGAAGTAAGATGGCTTGGTGGATGGAGAGTCGTGAAAGTGAAGTGTGATGAAGTGGAAGAGTTGGGTGTTATGGTCGCACGATGATGATGAGAACTGGGTGTTCATGTTTTTTCAGCTTAAAGATTACTACAGTAAGTTGTTAGAGAGAGCCCAGCCCTGGGCAGAAGGGCAGGGGGCCAGGTGTGCTCTCTGCATAGCAGCAAGAGGCCTCTGGTCTAGGAAAGCATCTTGGTTTTTCCTCACGGGTGTGTGTGTGTGTGTGTGTGTGTGTGTGTGTGTGTGTGTGTGTGTGTGTGTGTATGAGGAGATAACTTTGGGTATTGTACCCCAGAAGTCCTTCACCTTGTTTTTTGAAACAGGGTCTCTCATTGACCCGGGACTCGCCTATTCAGGGAGGCTGGCTGGCTGGCAAGCCCCAGGAATCCATCTGCCTCTGCTTTCCCAGCACTGGGATTATACGCATATACCTACACCTGTTTTTTAGTTGTGTGCCAGGGCTCGGACTCAGGTCCTCCCGCTTGCCCAGCAAACACTTAGGGACTGAGCCATCTGTCCGGCCTCTGTCAGTAATTTTCAGCTCTGCATTCAAGACAGCAACACACTTCCCTTCCCATGGGCTCCCTGTGGTGGCAGGCTCGGGGATAATGATGATGGCTCTGTGATGCCCCTCTGGCATCTGGAGAGTGGGCTTTGCAAATCAGGTGTGTTTTCTTGGCCATGGACGCTTTCATTTACTGTTCTTGCCTGGCAATTTGGGGTCCAGAAGAGGAATGGTCTGGGCACAAGTGGGCAGTGTGTGAGAAGACACCTGGAGTGGGGTGTGATGGCATGCGTCTTTAATCCCAGCACTCAGGAGGCAGAGGCAGGTGGATCTCCATGAGTTCGAGGCCAACCTGGTCTACAGCATGAGTTCCAGGATAGTCAAGGCTACACAAAGAAACTTTATCTCAGGAGGAAAAAAAAAAAGAAGATACCTGGGACCGCAAAGGCTGGTGACAGCAGTTGGCAGTTGGTCTTGTCATCACCCACAGGGTGTAGGACCAGCTCTGGGATCAGTGATAAGATTACAACAAAATCCTTGGGCACAATGACTGCAGGGCACCTTGATGTGTGTTTAATTCCCTCTAAGGAACGTGGAAGGAGGCTTCCATCCATGCCTAGAGCTTGAGCAGAGGCCCACACAGGCTTGGCACATGGAACATAGGACTGTCCCCAGGTCTTCTGTGATCCTCTTTCAGGATGGTCCCCAGACCTTAACCAAAATCCAGCTTCTGACAGCATAAATGGCTAGTCTTATTCCTGCAGCACAGACAGGAAGGTGGGTAGGATGTGGCCAGAGATGCCAAAAGAACTTAGGCAGGTAAGGGGATGAAGCTAAGCGGCAGCCTCCAGCCATCTGGGCAATGGGGGAGGGGAGCTCAGAGCCTCCTCTTTCCCGGGATGTTATTGACGATAAGGCCAGTGCCACATTCCGTGGGGTATCACAGAGGGACTGCCTGCTGTCACAGGGTCAGCTCCTAAAACACTTCTGTGCGTATGTACCACACACTAACGGGCTGGTCCCCCCCCCCCCCACCGCCGGCTTGTCCCCTCAATCAGTAACCATTCCACGAAACCACTCTAAATGATGTCACCAGACCTTCCGGAAGTTTGCATCTCAGAAGATATCGCTGTGGGTAGGGTCACCACAGCACTCAAAGTACTGCTACTAAGGGGCGGCTATGCAAAACCTGGTATTGTGTATGACGTCATTGAAAGTTCAGTGTGAGCCACCACGGCTTCTTCCCATGTAACAGCGGGTGTAGCTTTCCCAACACCCCGTGTGGTGTTTCCAGGGTGAAGTCTCAATGGCATTCCGTGCAGTCAGAGATGGAGCCTCCAGACATTATTTTTGGTGTGGGTCACAGGAATGAGGAACTAGCTTTGTGATTATACTTTTCCTTCCATAGGTATGCGGGTAGCCAGAGAGCCTTTAGCCTACCTCACGTCACAGCTTGCCTTGTTCTCACCCAAGCAGGGCTGACGGCTCTGGTAGTTTTTTGTGTACCTGTCCCCGGCAGCGTGGAGCACCTGGTGCTTGGATGCTTCTGTGAGGGGACAATTATGCTGCCCTTTGGTCTGCCAATGCCTGGAATGACTGGGGGCAGGGAGGTGCTAAGTCTCACCGTCATTTCTGGGACTGGAAAGTACTCTATGGTTTTGCAAGGTGTGGCGGTAATAGGTTAATTGGTACAATACATAGTCTCCAAATGTCAATGGCCTAGCACAGTGGGAGTTTATTCCTCATTTAAGGAGCCTAACATACCACGCCTGCTCCAGGTAGTGACTCTGGGATCCAGGCCCTTTCCAGTAAGCATTTTTGGCTATCCTTCTCTTGAATATGTGCATTTAGCAACGTGCAGGGTTCTAGTGGTGGTTACTGAGGAAAGACCTGGCAGTGGTGTGTGATACGTCCACCAGCATTCCCCTGACCAAAGCTGGTCCTTTGATGGCTGTCAAAAAGTCCTAGGAAGCTGGACAGTGGTAACACACGCCTTTAATCTCAGCACTAAGGAGGCAGAGGCAGGCGGATCTCTGTGATTTCGAAGCCAGCCTGGTCTACAGATCGAGTTCCAGGACAGCCAGGGCTGTTACACAGAGATCCCCTGTCTGGAAAAACCAGAGAGAGAGAGAGAGAGAGAGAGAGAGAGAGAGAGAGAGAGAGAGAGAGAGAGAGATTAAGAAGTCCGAGGAAGTGGTAGCCGAGTGAGGAAGAGGAAACAGGCTTGGAGAGCAGCCAGTGCCAGCCATTGGGAATGAACAGTGTAATGGGCATCTCCGGGTACTACAGGCCATCCTTTCCTGACTCGCCCTTTCTCTGCGATCTAACCAGATCACTCCAGGCAGCAAGGCAGCCCAGTCCCAGCTCAGCCAAGGAGACCTTGTGGTGGCCATTGATGGGGTCAACACGGACACCATGACCCACCTGGAGGCCCAGAACAAGATCAAGTCTGCCAGCTACAACCTGAGCCTTACCCTGCAGAAGTAGGTGGAAGCCCTCCAGAGGAGGGGACACAGGTTTGGTGTAGGCACGCGATGGGGACAAAAGAGAGGTCGTCCTCAGCATTTGCGTGGGTCCAGCCCTGTGCTACAGAAGTGTACAGGAGGGATGGGCTGAAATTCTTGTCAAGCTACCATTGCCTTGCTTTACGGCAGTGGCTTAGGCAGAGAGCGTGGTCACAGTGCCACAGGTATATGGAGGGCTGGACCTGGAGGCCCTGCTTCCTCTTTCCTCAGGCAGCCCTGCCCTCACCCCACGCAGAAGAGGCCCATGAGTGCTGATGAGAAAACCCCAGGGGTTACGACTCCTTATCCTGGTCAAGCCCAGGGCCTCCCTTAGGAGACCTAGCGCATGGGTTGATGTACACTTGGGCCCTGTGACTCCACTGTCTATCTCTTGGTCTCCCCTGCTGGCCAGGTGCAAGTGTCCTCACTGGCTCTTGTTTCTGGCTTCTCTAGGTCCAAGCGTCCTATTCCCATCTCCACAGCAGCGCCCCCTATCCAGTCCCCACTGCCAGTGATCCCCCACCAGAAGGTAGGTGTTGACCAGCCACGGTTCCTGGAGTGTAACCCTGCCTGCCTGCCTGTCCTTACCACTGCTGACTCTCGTGAGAAGTGTTTGAGTCCCCTTACCTAAGACACACCAAGTTGTGGGGATACCTACCTGGGCCCAAGACACCATCCCAGGTCCAGCAGCTGTTCAGAGAAGAACCCAGTTTGGAAAGCAGTGTGCTGAGAAGAGGGACAACCATTCTAGTCCAACAGGAACCAGGTGTCTGTCTAGAGGGCTCTGACCCTCATCGTCTGGGAACACTGAGACTAGAGTTGCTGGGAAAGGCCCCAGCTTGGGTCGGTCACCCCAGGAGGCACCTCCAGGTGTGAAGGGACCTTACTGCCCTCAGGGTTTCTCCTCCACACAGATGCTTCCAGTTTCTAAGTGTCTACCCATCTCTCGCAGCTACAGACCCCTCTGTCCATCAGGAAGGCTAGTTATAGTCCTAGAGGCTAGCCCAGGAGTGGAGGGGCAGCAGAGCTCTGACCCCAAATCTCACCACTAGAGCCAGAATCCTTCCCAAACCTTCTCTAAGCATCTGAACGCTATGAGCCCAAGGGTCTAACTTACACTTGGGAAGGCTGATCCAAGGGCCTAACCTAAGCTTGGGAAGGCCTACCCATAGCTCCCTTACCCATTCTCACACTACAACTGTAGACTGACTCCAGTCTGTCCAATGGGGAGACTGGACGGCAGGCGAGATGGGAGGAAAAGGCTCACAGTGGTGGTGGTGGGGTCATAGATTGGGGAACTGGACAGAGGGCTCCTGGGAGAAATTGCTAAGGTAGACAGAGATAGCCAAATAGCCAGCTGCTTCCTTAGGCTCTCCTCTGTACCTCCACCCCAAATGTCAGTCAGCCCTGCTTATGAAGGGTCTTCTCCAGGGTGGGTCAGTGAATCAGCAGGCTTGTTTGCACTCACAGGGTACCCATTCAAAGGGAAAAGAGGCCAATAGACGGGATAGTGGTACCATACTCTCCCCTGAGCCCCACATCCTTCTTCTTAGTCCTTGGGAGCAGGCTTGGCTTTCTGGGAGGAGCTTGGCATTCTGTCCAGGTGGATGCCAGCCTCTAGACCAGGAACCACAGGCTTCCCTCTGCCGCTCCTCTTGCAAAGGACCTTCCTTCCCAGTGGCCCATCCGGGTGCTTCATGCAGCAGGCTGCAGGCTGTGGGTGGTGGGCTACAGGTGCTCACACTAACGCGTCTGTTTCAAGTCCACACGGAAGCACAGCCACGTGTGGTCCTCTAACCACTGTCTTCTCTCTCCCCTGCATGGTGCTGCCCTATGCCAGGACCCTGCTCTGGACACGAACGGCAGCCTGGCGACTCCCAGCCCCAGCCCCGAGGCGAGGGCCAGCCCAGGCACCCTGGAGTTCGGGGACACCTTTAGCTCCTCCTTCTCCCAGACCTCTGTCTGCACCCCACACATGGAGGCCCTGGAGCCTGTCCTTCCTCAGGGCAGCCCAGTGGCCAAGGCCAGCCCAGAGGGTGTACAGGGCTCAGTCAGCCCCAAAGTTCTGCCAGGCCCCAGCCAACCGAGACAATATAACAACCCCATTGGCCTGTACTCAGCAGAGACCCTGAGGGAGATGGCCCAGATGTATCAGATGGGCCTCCGAGGGAAGGCCTCAGGTGCTGGACTCCTAGGAGGGTAGGTAAAGGGCATCCTGCCATCTGGTCTGGAGGCACCTGGGTCATCAGTGCTCACTACAACAGCCTGGTCAGGTGGTCAGGGGGAGGAAGAGGTCTCACCACAGCCAGCCCTGTGCCCATGGGGTAGTGCCAGCCGAGAGCAACACCAGCTGGGATCCCCCTGACGTTTGCTGTCAGCCATGCATACCATTGCTTTCTACAACCACTCTGGAGTGACATGTCAGCTTTTTTAGACATTGAAACTGAGGCTCAGAAAAGGTTAAGCTGAGGTCCAGATGTCCAGCTATTACATGACTGAGCTAAGCCTGCATATAGGGGACTCTGACTCCCCAAATCTTTACTCCAGGCCACATTCCATCCCATGAGATGACACTGCCCACTGCCTTTGGGAACTAAAGTTCTAAAAGAAAGACTAGTCCCCACATCCCTGGGGTCCCTACGGCAAGAACAGGGAAGAAAGCAAATTCTCAGCTGGACGGTGGTGGCTCACACCTTTAACCCCAGCACTCGGGAGGCAGAGGTAGGCAGATCCCTGAGTTACAGGCCAGCCTGGTCTATAGCGTGAGTTCCAGGACAGCCAGGGCTACACAGAGAGACCTTGTCTCAAAAACAAAAAAGAAAAAAGCAAAGCAAAAGAAAGAAAGCTTGTTCTCTAATGGTGAGAGTGGTCTAGGAAGGCTACCCAAAGGAGGAAGCGCAGGAAGTACCCAAAGAGAGACTGGGCAATGGTATGAGAGGAGGCCGCTTGCAGGACTGACCCAGCCTGGGCGGACAGCAAGGAAGCAGAACTCCGAGGAGAGAGGGTCTGTGGAAAACAACAGCCCGCCTCCGGCCCCCCAGTCTAGCCAGTGAGACTCCGTGGGAGCAGGGGTTGAAGACACATGGAGCTAGGTTACCGAAAGCAGAAAAAGGAGGGATCGGCATATGAGCACATATCAGCTGCCAGGTCTCCCCTCTCGTCTCATGGTGACTCTGCTACTGCCCTGTGCGATGGGTGTACTTATCTCTGGGTGCCAAAGGCACAGCTGGTTGAGTTGAGGCGTTGTAGCCCAGTGTCTCAGTGAGAGGAATCACGGGGTTGTCTTCAGGTTACTGCGAGGATAAAGAGAATGGCACTTGTCACACACTCACGACACATACTCATTGACTGCCTAGACTCTCCCAGCTGATAGTCGAGCATCAACACCGGAACCCCATCAGCGTGGCCCCAGCCACATCATCCTTGGCTCTTCTGTGTCCACTAGACCAGAGCTCTCTGATTTCTCAATTTCACCAGCTCCTTCTGGAATCTGAGCAAGGCCAGCCTCTAGCACATCATGACTTCCCCAAGTCAAGGTTTTCCGAGCAAGGAAGCCCAAAATTTTAGGAGCAGCAGGATAAAGATGGGCTCCTTTTTCTGCCTCTGATGGGTAGGTCTTTCTGGTCCCTTCTAGACCCTCCCCAGGCAAAAAAGTTGCCTTCTGGTTGACTGAGAATCCTGAAAGCCCTTTCGCAGTGATGACAATGTCTTCCTGACTGAGCTCTGACTCTGAACTAGGAACTGGCTCTTTTTTATTAATTAATATACTTTATGTGTACGGGTGTTTTGCCTGCATGCATATCTAAGAGACTGTCTGATCCCCTAGGACTGGAGTTACAGACAGTTGTGAGCTGCCATGTGGGTGCTGGGAATCAAACCCAGCTCCTTTGGAAGGGCGGTCAGTGCTCTTAACTGCTGAGCCATCTCTCCAGCCCCATAGGAACTGGCTTTGTCAATAACTTCCGAGGTGGGCTTGATGTTCTTCATCTTAGCAAGTCAGATATAGTGTGAAGTTGACCCCAGATCATACAGCTAGTAAGAGGCAGACAGAACAGCACTCGATCTGCCCGATTCCATCTTGATTTGAGATGGAATAGGGAAGCTAGGAGGTCAGGAGCCCTGTTCCTACCGCCATCCCCACCACCCCCACCACCACCCCCTTGCCCAGACTCCCGGGTGCCAGTCCTTTGGTGCAGATGATGTCCAGAATCTACTTAGCAAATGTAAGAAATTCTCACTTGATGATCAGAGAAGCGGGATCCAACAGTGTCTTCAGTGGGAAGGTGGACCAGAGGAGGAAGTGAGGTCGGTGCTTTGTTCAAAGTAAAAGCTGATGTGGTCAATGTTGACAGCTGTAGGCAGAGAGGGCTGGGACCTCGGCTGGCCTGAGGCCCCAATTTGCTAAGTGTCTAACTGCTCGAAAGCAACAGAGCTGGCAGCTCCATGCCCATCTAGTGCGGACATCCCATGCTCAAGGCTTAGACTCGGGGTACAGTGACCTGGCAGGACCCTTCTGCAAGGTGGAAGCCCTCACTTCAGCCTTTTTTAGTTTTTTAGTTTTTATTTTATTTTTACATGTGGGGGTGTTTTGTCTGTGCACCACCAGAAGAAGGTGTCAGATCCCCTAGAACTGGAGTTACAGATGGTTGTAAACTGCCACGTGGGTGCTGGGAATCAAACTCCAGTCCTCTGGAAGAGCAGCCGATGATGCTCTTTTTTTTTTTTCCTGGTTTTTCGAGGCAGGGTTTCTCCCTTTAGTGTAGTTTTGGTGCCTGTCCTGGATCTCACTCTGTAGACCAGGCTGGCCTCGAACTCACAGAGATCCGCCTGCCTCTGCCTCCCGAGTGCTGGGATTAAAGGGGTGCGCCACTGCCGCCCAGCGCAGCCGATGCTCTTAACCATGGAGCGGTCTTCTCCAGTGTCCCCACTTCCTTCTTACGAATAGAATCGAGATGAAGGAACTTGCCCAGAGTTATAATGTTGAGAAGAGTCAAGGTTAGGGACTGACCTCTGTTCTGTCGTGCTCCACAAGGAAGCCCCTTCCTTCCTTCCTCTCCTCTGAGAAGCCTGTGGCTTGATTCTTGGCAACTGGATCTCTGGGGAGACATGGAGGCAACCAGTGGAGATCAAGGACAGAAAGGCCTGAACAACCTGCAGGCCCCACTCCTCACCTGAAAGGGAACTTTCCATGGCCCCACGAGCAAGGCCCCTGAGCAGCCACGGCATCCCTGCCTGGTGCGTCCTCCTGAGCTCTGAGGCCTAGCTCCTCTCTGAACTGTGTGTGCTGTAGGCATCCAAGCCTTGGGATGGAGCAAGAACTTAGCAGGGGACATTAGTGTCAAAGGAGTTGGCTGCTGCACAGCGCAGAGGCAGCCCCCACCCAGTCAGGTCAACACTGCCCTCTGCAGGGGACACTGGGCTGCCTGGTCATCACCGGAGCTGACTCTGCAGCTGTCAGCACTAGCCAAACATGGAGAAGAAATGGCAAAGCCAAGCTGGCCTTTTCCTAATATAGATCTACTTGTGGCTATTTTCAGCATGGGACGACAGGAGGAATTTTATCAGCTCTGAGACAGTGGGGGACCTGGGCCTGACAGGAGGAATTTTATCAGCTCTGAGACAGTGGGGGACCTGGGCCTGACAGGAGGAATTTTATCAGCTCTGAGACAGTGGGGGACCTAGGCCTGAGCAGATACACCACAGGTTCTCTGGGATTGGAAGATTTTGGCTTCTTAGCACCCTGATTGTGGGGTGACCAGGTCCAAGCTAACTGGAGCTAAGGTTCCCTTTTCCAGAGTTCGTAGTGGACAGATCTAGGCAAGCAGGCTATTTGGAGACGATGTCCACTTCCCTCCATGAGCTCTCATCTTGAGTGTTAGACAGGGCCACAGGGTCTGCCACCACAGGCACTCTACATTTAAAGAAGCATCATACAGATAATGCTTCCCCAAAGAAATTCATATTCCAAGAGGCTCATTGTCCAATCAGAGTGAGGATATGCCAGGGGGCCCCTGCTGGGGGCTTTCCTAAGCAAGCCTTGGACATGCACTCCTCCTGGGCCTCCTCCTGCCTCACTGATGGCCCACAAGGCCTTCGGAACGGTCACTGGGGACTGTATCAACTCCCTACTCCCTGCTTTGGGAGGAGTGACCAGGGCTGTCGGCCTGTCCTTTGGGAGAGAGAGTAGGGCCCAGGGTCCGTGGATAATCGTGCTGCCCACAGAACAGCACTGCAATGCCTCCTTGGGGCATGAATGCATAAGCTGTCCCTACGAACAGGGCTACGCTGCGACTTTTCGCTGTTGGGGAATCTAGCCAGAAGGGACCCGGGGCCTCAGTCCTTCTTGAAGAGCCACGGCAGTGAGGTCTCTGTCTCAGCTCTCTCCAGGCTCTACAGCCAGGGTATACCTATGGGATCCATGTACCTCCACAGGAGTTCTTGAAACAGGCATGAAATCTCTTCCCCCTGGCAAAGCGGGGAGTGCTGGGGTCCACCATAGAGGGAGTCCTGGCACCTCCCACCCACACCAATGGTTCTAGCAACCCTGATTCCTGGGTCTGCGCTCTCGCCTCCCTCGATTCTTACCTCTTGCAGACTGAGGTTTTGCCAGTGCGACCTCCTTCACAGCCAGTCTGAAGACGGTGCCCGCCTTCGCACCCCCCCAGGAGAAACCTCTCTCTGACTTCGCTGTCTTCTTTGCTCTTTCCTCTCCTTCTAGGTGGTAGCCAATTCTCCAGCCAAGTTAGTATCCAAGGACAGCATGTGTGTGTCCCCGTGTGCCGTTCCAGCATGCACCTGCCATCTGTTGGGTGTGGATGGCATGTGCCTGTCCTCGGCATGTGTGCATATGTGCATGTGTGAGTGGGGGTGCCTTGTGCCCTGGATGAGCCTGCACCCGTGTTTGCTGGAGTCTGGAGGGAAGCCATCGCAAGGGATGGGTATCTATGGGATGGCCTCAGTTTCCCTCCCAATTTCCCGCTCCAGCAGCTTGCAGGTGAATTCAGGTGTGTGTGGGGTGCTGCACCGTTACTGGCCTGTGTGGGTCTGAAGACTTTTCTGACCCAGTGGGACCCCTGAGAAGGACTACATGTGATTTTATCTCTGCTTGGGCATGCACCTACCTGTTGAAGGGAAGAACCTGGATGGGTAGAGGCTGGCAAGCTACAGCATGCTGGACAAGGGGGGCCTGGGCCGCCTGAGCCATCCTCCAAGGAATAAGCTCACACACAGAAGGATCTGGAAGAAGAGTCGCAGGCCACAGAGGAATGACTGGCAGGATAAGCCCCTTCACGGAGGAACTTTGCTCAGAACCTCAGCGTCTCCAAGTGTGCTCAGTGTGACTGCTTTTCGCCTTTGGAACGTTCTAGAATCTGCTTGTGCTGCTGCCTCTTCTGTCACACGGCCCAGCTTCTGTCCTCTTCCCAAGTCCCACTCCCCTAAACCCTCTTGTGTCTGCTTCTCCATGCTGCGGTGTGCCATGGGAGTGGGCACCATGCTTGGTGCCCCTGCTCACGCTAAGAGGGAGTTTAGGCTGAAGTGGAGCCTGAAAGGGAGCTGGGAGAGTTGATTCAGGTGGGCATGAAAGATCTTCTGCACAGGGTCTCGGGAGAGGCCAAGAATTTTCCTGGCCACACCCAGACAGCCCACAGTGGGGGAACTTGGGTAACTTACTTGGGCCAAGACCTCAGCTTTGGGAGATCTCTCTCCACATTCCCACCAGCTTCCCTGGCCTTGATCTCCCATGTAACCACCACCTGTTGCCCTCTCTCCTCCCTTCCCTCCTCCACCCCTCCCCTCCCTTTCCTGCCCGCCCTCCTCAGCGCCGACTACCAGGAACGCTTCAACCCCAGCGTCCTGAAGGACTCAGCCCTGTCCACCCACAAGCCCATTGAGGTGAAGGGTCTGGGCGGCAAGGCTACCATCATCCACGCACAGTACAACACCCCAATCAGCATGTACTCGCAGGATGCCATCATGGATGCCATCGCTGGGCAGGCCCAGGCCCAGGGCAGTGACTTCAGTGGGTAAGCGCCTGCCAACATCACATGGAGGCTGTCAAGCACTCACGGGACCAGCTCTCTTCTCTCACCTAGCACCTCCCGGGTTCAGGCCCGTGGAGGAGGTGAACCAGCCTTCACCAGGGACTTTCAGAGTGTGTTGCCCTCTCTCTCTTCAGAGTTGGCCCTGTGTTCAGCTGTAGGAGAAGTGGCAAAACGCAGAATGTTGTGTTTCCTCGAAGGGGTTGTGAGCCCCTGCATGTCCCAGGCTTCATGAGAGGGGCTGGTTGGAGACTTCTGCGGTGCTTTTAAAGGAGCACCGGGGACTCCCCGGGCCTCTTGGAACTGAAGCCATACTGGGGGAGTGGAGGAAATTGTCCTGTTCTAGCAATGAGCTTGACGTCCAGCACTTGGTGGGTGGTACTGGAAGAGGCCTTGGGTGCCACTGGCAGTCAACCTCATGATGGGCACCTCTCTCCTCCTCTTTGCCCCAGGAAGCCTGGCTTCAGAGCTGTGGGGTTTAAAATGCCCTTGGTTCCTGGGCTTGGTCTACTCGCTTGGTTGGGGAACTTGAGGGTGGACTAGGGACGGAGCTGGTAGAAACTCAGAGGATGCTGGTACTATTCAAGCGTTAACAGGGCCATTCCCTCCTCCGTCTTCTCCTCCCTCATTTCTGTCTCGTCTTTGTCTCTTTCTTTCTCTGTGTATGTCTCTTCTCCCCTCTGTATCTGTCTCTTTTCTCAGTCTTCCTCTCCATTGTTTCTTGTTTTGATCTCTCTCATTTGTTTTCTTACACACACACACACACACACACACACACACACACACTCACACACACACACTCACACACATTCACACACACACACACAAGTGGGGGGGGGGCTGAAGGAGGAAGGCCATTACTTTTTTCTGCTGGGGAATGTCACAGTGCAGAGCTTACCTCTAGGCAAAGGCAATATATTATCCCTAGATCAGAGATTCCCAGCAAGTCAGGAGAAAAAGTCTAAGGGGATATTAAACTTTTTTTTTCTGAAACTATAAAAACCAATACTGTAAGAGGGACACAGAAATGTCCCAGGCAGTTCCTCCAGGACAAGGACAAACACTTGTGGCCATTTGGTATACACGCAGAGGCCAGAGGATAAGGTACCCGGCTACATGTCCTGAGCTCCATTTTTGGAGAGTCTGACCTCGTCTCAGAGAGGTACTACTTCCCATCGACCACCAGGGGGCAGAGGTTGTCCATTTTGCAGCCACTAGTCCGAAACCTGCAGAGTTCCTGATTGCAGGCAGCCCTTGCAGACATCTGGACTGTGTTGATTTACTTAAATCGCTCATTCAAAGGAAAAAAAAAAAATGACCATGCAACTTTTAAAAACAGCCATTAGCTCATGTATACCCAGAAAAGCAAATCTGCCTGACTAAGCCCAAAAGCCAATGGGATTTCCTGTTACCATTTGTCACATGGTCCTTGGTGTGCCCTGAAAAGTAGTAGGTAGGAGTCACCAAGGGATAGTCAAATGGGAAATGATGGATGAATGGCTCATCACACTTCACTTTCTGCATACTGGGAAAACTATTATTTGATTTTGTTGTGGGGCACCTGTGGTTTGGAGTCTATGGTGCTCTGTCGATTAACCTAGTTGCCTCTCACCCGTTCCCTTCCCTTCCCTGCCTCTTGTTTTGCTAGCGTGCCTGGAAAGGATCAACCTTTCCCCATCCTTTTGGCTCAAGCGCGCTGAGCTGCCGCTGCTATGGTGCAGTGAGGAATCCTCCTGACCATAGTGTGTTCCGTTTCTGCTGTCAATTTCCACGGTTCCTTCCTCACTGACAGTATTCTTTTTCTCTCTCTTCTTCCTCCACCCATCCCACTCCCCTAACTCATTTCTGGTCCTAACCCCGCTCGCTCTCTTGCGTGCGCTGCCCCTCTGCTATCCCATGATGGATGCGCACTCGCGGCTGGGTTTCCTTCTGCTTGGCAGGGCGTCGCCGCTGGCGTAAGTAGACCCGCAGTGTCTGTCTGGTCATCTGTCTAGTTGTTGCAGGATGGTGTGTGGGTTTGGTGGGACGTGTCTGAGGTCACGTGGTCAGCCCATGCGTTCTGGCCACCTTTTTCCTCACACCCACCTCGCAGCCACACGACATCCTCTGCAGTCTCCACAGGCAGATGCTTGTCTTTTGAAGTCCACCCATGTCGATGTGGCTATGGAAATCTAGCGGTGGCATTCACAGTGCACCCAGCCTGAGGCTTTATTCCTGACTTCTCCTTGCCAGGCTTTGGTGAGGTTTTCCCAGTCTTTCCTAGCTTCCTGGGACATGGCACACTTGGGGGTCAGAATGCACACTGGGCTGTTTGTTATTCAGTGCCAGAACGTTACAAAGTCAAGGGTTGCTCTTTTAGAAAGCCCAGAGCCCACAAGAACCAAAGAGATCTGGTTGTGCCCAAAGACCTCAGGAACCCTTACAATCTTTCCTGTATGAGAAACGGCTTTCTGCGCGAAGAACAAGAACCCAGTCTTTCCTTCGGTTCTCACACAGCTGTCAGCCTCTCCCTGGATGGACCCCAGAGGAATCTGGGTGGCCCACAACCTATCTCCATCACAATCTGACAGTCCCTGGCTCTCTAGGCTAGAGAAAGCCTTCGGGAAGTGGGAACAGGGCTGCTCGCCCTCCATCCTTCCACTCCGCACTCTCATAACTCACCCTGAGCCGAGCCTAAGGAACCAATCGTGGGAACTAGGCCAGTTCTATCCAGCTCCTCGCAGATAGGGGAGTCCTATCCCAGCTAGCCAGTCGCGACTGGGGCAGATGGAGCCAGGCAGGAGGGTGCGAGCTAGGGCATGCCTCACCTGGGCTGTGTCTCCAAGTGGTCAGAGCATCTGAGTTGTGCAGTCCCTGGTAGGCAGACGTGGCCTGTGAGCTTCCTGACCATAAAACACCTGACAGAAAGGACACAGGGCAAACCAGGAACGGTGGTACATAATCTCAGTACTCAGGGGAATGGGGCAAGGATGGCTACATAGCAAGACTCTGCTTCCAAATAAATAAAGAAATAAAGGTGAAGTAAAAACTAATAATAGCAGAAGGGCACAAAAAGGACATTGGGCTGGGGGCTGGGCCACCTAAGTTATCATCCAGTGGTGCCCCTGTCTACTATAGCCTGGCACTAGTCAGCTGACCTCTCTGGACCTCAGTTTCAACATCTGTTAGCGGAAAGGGCTAGCTGGCAGGCTGTTACTGCCATAGGCCTGGCCTGGGCACCTCTGACATCTGAGAGGGTTTCTGGGCATCACAAATCCACTCCAGGCAGCTGGAGATTCCAGCACCTGAGAGGCCCTGGGATCCCTGCTGGCTTTGATCTGGAGTTGAAAAATTCATTCAGCTAAGAATTTTGAGCACCCATTATACGTCAGACCCCGGGAGCTCAGGGACCAGGTTCCCCTCAAAAGACTATGCTGCTTTGGGGCCGAGACCATGCCTGCAGCCTCATTTCTAAAACCCTCCTCCACCTGCAGCTATAACTCCCAGTGTCCCAGCCCATCATGCCTGTGCTGAGCAAAATTTCCCGCCTTGTTTCTTGTCACACTTGGTTGCCAGGCTGTCTCCTGCAGCTGAGCCAGAAGCCCCAGGCATCTTGTGGCAGCTCCCCGTCTGGATCTGTGGGTGTGAGGAGGCCATGGGATGGGTCCTGAGCAGGTCCCTCAAGCAGGCTGTTCTCACCCGGCTCCATGCAGAGCTGGCTCAGGGGAGCTAAAATCACTTCAAGGGGAACTATCTTCTCCTTTCCTAAAGGGACTCTGGCCTGTGGGGTGGGAACTTGTTTAGGCCAGGATTAGCACTGGGGTGGGGCCAGCAGGAAGGATAGAAACCTCATGGGCAAGAAGAGCCGCTGTCCCACTGGGCCTTCCCTGACCTCTGAGCTCCCGAGAGCCGAAACCCCAGGCTTCTCAGCTCTTCTGATAATAGTGGGTGAAAACCGTGGGTACAGCTGTGGGGAGGGCGGGATGCAGTGGGAGAACAAGGTGGTGGTGTGGGGGGGTCTGAGTTCCAGCCTGGCCTCCGCCCACACCCCTTCCTGCCCTCCAGGAGCCTCCCTGTGAAAGACTTGGCCGTGGACAGCGCCTCTCCGGTGTACCAGGCTGTGATCAAAAACCAAAGCAAGCCGGAAGACGAGGCTGATGAGTGGGCCCGCCGCTCCTCCAACCTGCAGTCCCGCTCCTTCCGCATCCTGGCCCAGATGACAGGGACAGAATACAGTGAGTGGAAGTGTTGGCGTGGGAATGGGGGTGGGGAGGGGGTGAGACAGAGCGGGCCCGGCTCCTGCACAGTCGTAAAGCCTATCGAAGCGGAGGAGTCAAGCCACCTGCCTTTGATGGTTAACTAACATTGATAGAGCTGGCAGCTGGCAGAGAGCCTCTGAGTCCCTAGGTGGGCCTTCCATGTTAACCGCTAACTCCAAACGTGAGCAGAATCCTTGCCGTACAGTTTCCCGCAAGGTGACGGCTCCTGACTGGGAGAAGAGGACCTGCAGGCCTTCTGGGACCACTCCCTCCCAACTGCATTGTGTCCTCTCAACTCCCCGTGGCAGAGACCTGGCACACACAGTCTCATTGCCACTCCTGACAAGATGGTGTCGGAAGTGTTCAGGGCCTGGCTGATTCCTAGGTTCTTAACTGCCCTCAGAGCTCTAGTGGACGTTCTTCCTATGTTCAGTGTGAATCCTCCTGACCAACTTCCTTCTCCCACAGTGCAAGACCCTGATGAAGAGGCTCTGCGAAGGTCGAGGTAGGTGCCTAGACTTGGGGTCCATGGCCTTGTCTTCTAACCTCATCCCTCCCCGGGGAGCCCCCAGGCCACATGACTCACGGAAAGAACCTTTCGTGTTTATGTATTCGAAAAGCTCAGCCCTTAAAGGGTTTCAGCAGATGCGGGCTTGGGTGGCTTTCCCAGTGAGGTAGATTCAAGAGTGGGGAATCTCGGCTCCCTTGGCTCCCTTCCTGGGCAGGGGCAGGGCTGCTTTGGCCTTCACTGGGCTTTGGAGAAATGAGGGCATCTCTCCCCGTGAGGGCAGTGAGCCAATGCCCCGCCCGCACACTCATCTCTGGGCTTGTCCCCTTGTGAGTCTGAAGGCTTGGCACTGTGAGCAGGCATACAGAGGGCCAGGCTAGGCGTGAAGACCCAACCCCTAGATTCACCGGCCCATGCACACAAGGCACCAGTTCTAGCAATTGCTCCAAGTGTAACAGCTGCTGCAGGGAAATACAAGCCCTTGGCACCAGAAGGGGCTTGTATAGGGCTAGGCATCTCAGGGCATGGTCTCCCGGTCAGTGGCAAGTCTGGGACCACCACCACTTGCCTACTGCCTGTGCCCTGTTAGGAGCTGTAGCCCTGGGCATGAGTGGGGGCATGGCTGTTTCGAAACCCACTGAACCTGTCAGGGCCTTCCATGGTGAGGCATGGGGCCTGTGTGATTATCTGTGTACTTCTGGTAGTGAGTATGTCATCTGCATGTTCTTCTTGGACAGTCTGTCTGGGGTCAGGGAGTCCTGTGATAGCCTCTCTGGGAGGGTCTGGGACTCAAAGGCATGTTCCACCCTGAGCCAAGCTTTCTGGACTTGCTAACCACACATGGTGGCCACAGAACTCGAGAAGAGTAGGGTTCTGGGGCCAGCTGGGACTCCATGTGCATTTGATTGTTGAACTTGTGTTTTTGCCAACCCAAGCTGCTCCCACTTTCTGGCTGGGAGTGTGCTCCTCCCAGCCCTGCGAAGGCTGGCATGTAGTCCCAGAAATGTGTTTAACCTCTTAGCTCCTTTGTGCATCGAACAGCCCCAAGGACAATGCTGCTGCATTCAACTCCAATGTGGAGAGGCAGCTGTCTCGCGTGCGGCTGAGCTCTCGGCTCTCCGTTCCTCCTGCGCTCCGCGGCCCCTCCATGCTCTTTCTGTTTTCCCCACCCTCCTCATTGAAGCCACCCACACAGCTGTCCCAGGGGGTAATGCACACTTTCCCCAAGACTCAATAGAGGGGTCTTTATGTCACCTCCCCAACACAGTCAACAGCTTACACCCCAAGTTCTTTCCATCAGGAAGTCAACTGGAGGCCTTTTTCTCCCCTCTACAAGACACAGCACCCTTCCTTCATGGCCTCCGTCACCTCTTCTGGTCACTTCACGCTCTTCTTCTGTTCAATATGCATACTAGTCACGCTAAGCGTATGCCCTGTTGTGAGCCGTTCGTGCTTAGAAGGAAAGGGTTCCCAGTAGGAGAGCCGATCTGTTTCCTGTTCCCCTGGAACATTAGCAGGCACGGCCATAGGGTTTCCACAGAAGAGAATCCTACAAGAGGTCCCAAGGAGAGGCTTCAGCCTGCTTCTTGACTTAGCCCCAGGCCGTCCCTCCCAGGATTCCAGGTCCTTCAGTTGGAGACTCTGAGGTTCCAGCAGACTCCCCCGCCCCCAGGATCAGAGGGTGCAAGCCTCTTGATTCTGTCTCTTTTCCTGACTTTAACTTGTTGAGAGTTGTCCTCACGGACAGAGTCTTCCATGTCCCCAAATCCCAGCAGCCCAGGGCTCTGGGGCCGAGGCTGTGCATGCCCTCGTTCCGTTCAAGTGCCAAGTAAAGTCTGCAGCCACTGGGGCCCTAGGCGCACTCACTCAAGTGGCCATGTGAGCAGAAGAAAGCATGTTTGTCCTCATGTGCTGCCTTCGGACTGCTCAGGGGACCCGCTTCTCGGTGGTCAGAGCCACACCCTGACTCCAGAGTTGGAGGCTGAGCCCCGGGACTTGCTGATCCATCCTGTGGGCTGATGACAGCTACCACCCTGCTCGTTTCTCCTCCCACATTGGCCCCTAGTGTTCTGGCAGGCTGGCAAGTCTGAAAGCCACAGCTGGAGACACTGGGTCGTCCAAGCACCGCAGTCTGAGCAGGCCCAGGAGGCCTCCTTCCTGTCTTTTGCTCTTCCTCTTGTGCATTCCTCTTCTTGTCTTCACTTTGGCTAGCCAGGAATTTCCGCACTGTACCAAAGTGAGTAGGTTCTCGAGATTCATAGAGGTTCTAGAAATGTCCTTCACTTTGTCATTGAGCACTGGTGTCAAACTGTCGTTGAGTCTTGGTGGGCTTTGTTTAAACTGGAAATTCACCGGCAACTGGCTCTGTCTCATTTTGCACTTCCAAAGACTCTATGAGATGACTGTGAGTGCATGCAGGGCTGTGTGGGCCTTGCCACAAGGCCTTTGCCTGTACCTCTTTCATCCATTCATCCTGGTACGTCGAGGGGCAGGTGTGTGACTGGGGAAAAGGCTCCGCACTTAGATGGTGGTTTTGCTGTTGAACTTCTGTGTGGCTTTGGATTACTCATGTGGACATCTGAGTCTCTTGGTACAGTGCAAAGGTTGGATCAGACCAGTGTATTACAACTGTGTTAGCAACTAGCGGCCCCCACCTTTGCGCAACAACCTTATAGAGTTCCAGTGTGCTGGGTCCAAGGAGTAGGGTGAGAGCATGCCAGGTCATGCAGACGGGAAAGCGGACCTCTGTGAACATGGCGATGTGGGGATGCAAGGACCATGCCCTGGTGATCGTGACCATGCGTAACTGTAAGACCAGCTGTGCCCCAGGTCGGTCTCTCTGGTTCATGCAAGCTGGCAGCTCGTATTTAAATTGGGCTTTTCATTTTGAGGCAATTGCCCGTTTACTTGCAGTTGTAAGAAATGACAGAGATGCTGGGCATTGGTGGCACATGCCTTGAATCCCAGCACTCAGGAGGCAGAGGCTGGTGGATCTCTGAGTTCGAGGCCAGCCTGGTCTACAGATTGAATTCCAGGACAGCCAGGATTACACAGAGAAAACCTATCCAAAACAAAAAACAAAAACAAAAAGTAAACAACAAAAGAGAGAGAATGAACAGAGAGAGAGAGAGAGAGAAAGAGAGAGAGAGAGAGAGAGAGAGAGAGAGAGAGAGAGAGAGAGAACAGAGAGACTCTTGTGCCTTTTCCCCACTTCCATTTCCACTGGCAAAGTCTTACATCATAGCACAATGTCACATTGGTAATGATGACATCACTTCAACCACAAACACAGTCTCACACATAAGACTGTTTCACAAGTCTCCGTACAGTCACACACATACACCTTGCCCACCCCCCTTACCAGTGACCAGCAATGAACCAAATAGCATATGACCATTTTAGGGTTGGCTTTTTCTATCCACAAAATTCCTTTGGACTTTATCTAAGTTGTTGAATGAATCAGTACAAATTCACACACACACACACACACACACACACACACACACACACACACACACACACACAGAGAGAGAGAGAGAGAGAGAGAGAGAGAGAGAGAGAGAGAGAGAGAGATTCCAAAATCCTAAGTGCCCCATATCCAAAACTTTTCTGAGCACCACAAACACCAAAGGTGGAAAATTTTACCTTTGACCTTATGTCAGTGATGCTAGGCCAGGCAGTGGTGATGCATGCTTTTAATCCCAGCACTTGGGAAGCAGAGGCAAGCAGATCTCTGTGAGTTCTAGGCTAGGCTGGTCCAAATAGAGAATTCCAGACCAGCTACATAGCAAGACCTTGTCCCAAAAAGAAAAACAGAAACAATAGATTCAGACGCCAGGCTGTGGTGTAGCTCAGTGGCAGGGGGCTTGCCTACATGCACGAGACCCCGGGTTCAATCTCCGGGACTGGAGCCGTGGGAAGAGCAAAACACAGGTCTCATAAAAATATTACATTTGAGTTGGGTGTAGCAAGTATATATGTGATATACATGAATTTTATGTTGGGTCCCCAAGATATCTCATTATATATGTACAAATATCCCAAAACCATCTGAAATCCGAAACAGTTCTGTCCCACACATTCTGGATCAAGGTTATTCAGCCTGTGGTTCATTTGTTCCTTTTTACTGTTAAGTAGTATCCCATGATGTGGATTCAGCAGTTAGATTTTGATTTTTGTTTTTACTTAGTTAACTATTCACAGGAAGAAGCCAGCACTACTTTTTAAAAACTGTGTCTCGGTTCAGGTTGAGTGCACTACGTTTGTGGTTAGATGTGGTCCCTGCCACCTCTGCTATGGAGGTGTTCGAGGCCCTTCTGTCGGGAGGGTTAGCATCCCAGCATCACTGGCCGGCCTTTCCCTGCTCTTCCCTTTCTCCGTTCTGGCCACTGGGTGCCTGCACTGCACCTTCACCTGGGCAGCTGTGGGTTGGGCCTCCCAGAGGCCCCACTGACAGGAAGTAGTAAGTCCAGCCCCTTTCTTTCTGAGGCAGTGAGTATGTGTGTGTGCTTGTGAACTGGGGTAGGCCTGGGCTGTTCTCAGGCCTGGGCCTGCAGGAGCCCAGGGTAGCGTGTGAAGGCCTCTCTCTGGAGATGGTGAAGGTGAGGAATGCCAGGCAGTAGAGGGAGGTGACAGGTCTACCCACAGTCCTCATCATAGAAGTTAAGTGTTCCTTCTTCTTGGTGCCCAGCTAGAGGACAGAGACTGTTCCGGGCCTGCCTGCCTGGTTGGTTCAGTTCCAAGAGCCCACAGCCAAAGCAGCTCTGCCCAGCCCTAGCCACGCGGGCCAGGGAGCCCGCCTCCCTTTGCCCATTCTGCCCATTGGCCCACTAACCAGGCCCCTATTCTCCCTCCAAGCAAGGCAGGGACTTCAGTCCCTCCATTTTGTCCCAGAACTCTAGTCTTGCCCCATCCAACCCAAGCCTGCCCTCTGGAGAGTAAGTACCCTAAGGATGGCACCGTCCATCCCCACCCCTCCTGCTATCCCAGCTTCAGGCAGGGAAATGGTGGACATGTCCCCTAACCCCTCTCTTTCTCCCTTTCTTTCTCTTTCTGTTTCTCTGTCTCTGTTTCTGTCTCTCTCTCTGTCTCTGTCTCTGTGCCACAGGGAAAGGTTTGAAACGGAACGTAACAGCCCACGTTTTGCCAAATTGCGCAACTGGCACCATGGCCTTTCAGCCCAAATCCTTAATGTTAAAAGCTAAAAGGCTGCCTGGATTCCCCTGACCCATGGCAGGCTGGACCCCCCCCCACACACACACACACAGATCTGGCATGTGAGCCCCATGGTGATGCTTGATAATGAACGACTGTGCGGGGGGCACCTCTGGTAGCTCACGGTAGTACTTCTGCTCTCTGCCTATCCCAGAGTTGACAGCTGGGGGCCAGTGCCACGCACTCGGCCCCTCCTTCCTACCTCTCCGATTCCCAGCCCAGTGTGACCACCCCAGCTCCCACAAGCACAGCCTCTGAGCACCCCTGTGTAAACCCTTAGCTGTAGCCCAGAGGGGACACGACAGGGTTTGCTGGCCTAACGCAGCCAAACAATGAAAATATACTGGCCACTGCTCATGTGCCCACCCCACTCAGCACCTGGCCTTATACTCACCTGGAACACGTTGCCTGCAGATCAGGGTCCTGAGTGGGCACCCTCTTCTCTGTACCTGTGTGCTGGCTTCATAGTTTCTTCTCATGTACATATAAGCATGCTTGTTTTGAAATAAAGAGGATTTGAAATGAACAAACCAAGCCCCAATCATGCTGTGCCTGCGTGTATGCCCTGCACCCCACCTTGGGAGGGCCTTCAAGGACAGTGTCTAGGACAGAGAGGATAGGTACGGCCAACAGAGAGGCAGGGACAGTGTCCAGCAGGTGAGGCCCCATGCGGCTCTGCTCACCCTGCTTTCCTACACCCCAGGCTAAGGACCCAGGATGAGGGATCCACACGGGATAGTCTGTCTGCCTCTCCCTGGGCAATGTGGATGGGGGCTACCCCAGGACTGTGGCTTTCTCCTTCTGCACCCAGCTGTGACTGACAGGTGGCGCCATCTTCCCTCACCGTCAGGAAATATGCTAAAAGCCTTTCACCCAGGCCATCCTTATGCCCAGCACTGTCTGGGTGGTCTGAGAAGTACTGTAAAGTATCGTTTACAGGAAAGCCCAGGAGATGGAGGTGGGGGTCGGTGACAGGGAGATGGAAGGGCCTAGCAGAGTCTTGGTGACAGGAGTGTAGGGGACAGCCTCCGGCTGGCTCCTGCTCTTGGCCCCACCTGTGGCCTTGTGCTACTCTGGAGCACTTAGCCAAGCTGATCAGAGCAGCCTGACTGAAAAGTTCTAGCCCCCACCAGCAGGGTTACTGTTTCAAAGCCACACTCCACCCACCTGCCCCACAAGCACCCTGGTTCCTCGCTCCACGGAATCATAGGCTGAGGACATAAGGACGATGGCATTTGGAAAATGAAGGAGGTACAGAGGACCAACTCTCAGGATGCCCTACCTCCTCTGAGGCTGGATGGCTGGAACCCTGCTCCCACCCTGCTGTCTGAAAACACCCTTTCTTTCTGGTGAGCTCATCTGGAATGGCCAGCCGGGGAAGCTGCTCACTCCTACCCACCCCCGAGATGCTCTCTCTAATCTCTCTACCAGCCTGTTCCTCCTTCGCCTCCTACCCCTTCCTTCTTCTAACAGCCTGAAGCCAGGGCCAGGGCAAGTCCAAACAATCGTCATCCTGGCTGGGGGATACACCCGGGGAGGACAAGAGACGTCTACCTTCATCTAGGCAAGCTGGAACTCACCCGTATTTGGACTGATGACTTGTGAGGCCCCAGAGTAGGTTGTAGGGTAGGAGGCGGCTAGACACAGAGGTAGTAGAGGTCCCAGACAGTGGGTATCCTGTGGATGGGAAAGGACCTGAGGAGATCACTCCAAGTTGTTGGACCCTAAACCTCTGTCACCAGTCCCTAGACTGTTAGTACTCTTTTGGAGCCCATTAGTTAAAGCACTAAAATGTTTGCTTTCTAGCAGCCTGATGCCTCTCAGCTCCTCCAGGCCACTGTGAGCAGCACCTTGTAGGCCGAGGGCCTACATAAAATCCTCAAAGTAAATAGAGTTTTCCTCACTTAGCACCCTATGTCTATGAGTGAGGCTCCTGGCTACCAAGAATGCTAACAGACTCAGAAAGGGACTGTGTAACTGTAACCACAACACAAGGTTGATATTGTGGACTCCAGAGGGGGGAGCCCCTCTAACTGGAGGATATGGTTTCCTGGAAGAAGAGGTTAGTGTTCTTGGTCTTGAGGGATGGGGTATGTTTAGATAGGGCCGGCTGGCCATCTAATCTGAGGGCACAGACATGGTGAGTCAAAGAACAGGATGGAAGATCCCAGAATAATCCTTTTGACCAGGAGGATGGCTGCAGAGAAGGTCATAAAGAGCTGGGATCCAGATGTAGAGTTCCAGGCTATGGGATTTGGAATATATTTTGAGGGCAACATGGAATGGGCAAAGTTTGCAGCACACTCTTCCCACTGCAGCTGATAGGCAACATTCCCAAAGACCAGGGTGTCATGGGGGCCCTGGCCTGGTTACAAAGTGGTATAGCTGAACTGCCCTGAGCTATAGTCACCAAAATGAAAGATAGACTATCCACTAGGTGGATGGCAGCATGAACAGTTTTATGACCAACACCTGAGTGATAATCTCTCATCATCCAATCAACAGAAATTGTCATACTTCACTGTCGTAGCTAACACAGGCAGCACGGACATCCTAATCATGGCGAATCCCCTTCCACTCCACCAGGACCAATCATAGTATCCCCATTACCAACAGTTCCAACCCGAGTCCAGTGACCACAAATCCCCAGACTTGACACCTCCACTATCAACCCCCTCTGTTCCAGACATACCACAGCCACCAACCACAACATCAGCAGAATTTCAATTCCCACCACCAAGAGCCCCCACACAGAGTGAAGGCATGAGGCCACCTTGATACCTCCCAGATCGAAACGGGGACCACAGCTGCACAATGCTGTCTGGCCACACTCTCCCTTAGGCAGATCTGAGTCTAGTTTGCTTGGGTTTTATTTTTAACTGGGTGTTTAAACTGAATTATGGATTGGGGGGTAGAGTGTGTGCTTAGCACATATATAAGGCCCTGAGTTCTATCCCCAACACCAAACATTTTTCATTGAAAAATGAAAAAAAGAATCTAAGTGTATGACAACTCAGGAAGCAGCTGTGGAATTGTAGGCCAGGCCGGGGTGATCTCATGGACACTCTCTTTAGGACTAAGGTCGAGGCTATGTAAGTTCTCTGTAATGCTTGCTTGCTGGTGCCTGCTTTTTGGAATTTCTGGAGACTCGTGGAACTTCATGCAGAAACTGACATGGAACAAGAATCCAAGATCCTTCAGGATGTACTTTGATGTCTCTTCTCCCCTCTCTAGACCCTGGTGACTGCTTGGTGTCGGGAAAGAGTGTGATCTTAGATAGGATGCACTCAGCAAAAACTGAGAGTAACAGGCACATGTGCGTGCCCATGCATCCCTGATGGTAACCTTTGTCCCAGCTCTGTGGTCAATGGTGAACTTTTCTGGAACCTACTTCCAGCTCCAACTTCATTGCCTGAAATCCAGGCTTCATTTGGAACTATTGTAAGGGAAAGCTGCAGATATGCTGGGCTGTAGCACACTGGGACAAAGGGGACAGACAGCCAATGTCTTCTTTGCATAGCCCAGGCATTTCCATCACTCCCATCCTGGGCAGGGTCTTCAGTTTCCAGTGGTCCACTGGAAATGTGGGACGGAACCAGGGAGGGGCACGACGGCCTGTGTCACCCTGAGCCTTCCCATACTTGGCCACCCTGTGAGGAGGTCTCCAATAGCAGCTTAGGAGTGTTCAAGTTCTACAGTTTCTCTGGGATAGCCACGTAAACAGCATGGATTTCAGGAGCAAAGGTGTTTCACAGAGGATGGGCGAGTGGCCTCATAGAAGTGTCAAGGACAGCTCTGCCCAAGGCCTCCTCTCTGACAACTAAGTCATGACAGTCTTGGGCAGGACGTAGCTAAAACAGGCCCATTTGAATGTGCTCTTCGCTATGGGATAGCCAGCCCACAACTTCACTGCTTCTCCAGCTCTAACCCTTCTGTTCTGTTTTGTACCTTTTTCCTTTCTGACTGGATGGAGATCATTTGGGAGATGCTTGGGTAAGCGTCTTGTGGCTTCCTGGCATTCCTATCTGGGACAGACAGAGATGTCTCACAATTTGCTCCTCCCTGTGTGGTCCATAGACCAACAGCATCAGCATACCAGGGAACTTGCTGGAAATAAGCCTCAACCCCACTTCAAACTCAACAAACTAGAAGCTGCTGTGTGATATTATCTGCTGGTTTTGTTTTAAGACAGGGTCTCACGATATAGCCCAGATTGTCCTGGAACTCACTGTATATTACCCAGGCTGGCCTCAAACTCACAAAGCCAGCCAAATGCTGGGATAAAACTGGTGTGTACCACCAGTTTACCTAGCTATGTGATGTTTCACCGGAGAGGCAGTGTCTCTCAACCCCGGGTCCCTGGTCTCCAGATGAGACCTGTAAGATGAATCATCCAGGGAGGTGGGAGGGAAAAAGGGAAGAATGGGCTGACGTTGGCACTGTGGAGCACGTGGAAGAGGGAAGTGCTGAGATGTTACTTGGGTCCAGCAAGGATTTGCCTTTGAACAGAGACAGATCACCTTGGCTGACCACAAGAAGAGGTCTCTTTCTTCCTCTGTGAAATACTGGTTAAGGCTTCAAGTCAAACTGACCCTCAGTCATTTTGTTCCCATGGGTAAGTTCCAGAACCTTGGGTAGATGAATTCTGTTTCCATTTCCTCACTTATTAAATAGGGTTGATTAGCCCCCATCAGAGGGCTGTTGTGAGATGTTAAAGGAATAATTGTGGAAACAGTATAACGTGAGCAAATAAATGGCGTGGTTCTGGGAGAGATATTACAACTTGTAGGAGTTTCGTATGTTCTATTACTATTGTTTCAAAAAGAAATGTCAGTCAAAGATCTAAGAATGAGCTAGGTATGGTGGTTCCTTCCTGTGGTCCCAATTAACAGGGAAGCTGAAGCAGGAGAATGACTTGAATACAGGCGTTAGAGCAGTTGAGAAGGGGCGGGGTGGGGGGAAGAGGAGAGGAAAGGAGAGAGAGGAGAGGAGGGACAAAGAGGAAAGGACAAGACAGGATGTGTGTCTTTGTTTTCTCATGGTTTGTGTGGGAGGGCCGGGATTGCAGATCATAGTGAGTGCTTGTTGGGGAAGGGGTGTACATGCACATTTCTATGCATGTGTCTGGAAGCCAGAGGTCAATGTCAAGTGTCTTCCTCAGCTGTTGTCTACTTTAGTTTTTGAGACAGGGTCTCCCACTGAACCTGAAGATCAGCTGGCTAGCAAGCCCCAGAGATCTTCTTCTCTTGTTTTCCCTGTGCTAGAATTTCAGGCTGCTGCACCTGGCTTTTTACCTTTCTTATGTGGGTGCTAGGAATCTGAATTCAAGTCCTCACACTTAAGCAGTGAGCATTTTACTGACCAAGACATCTCCCCAGCCCTATGGCTGAGTTTTTCTTCTCTGTCCCATTCCCAGGGAGCAGAACTAATCCTCTCAATCCAAACTCTGACTGATCTGCCTTCTTAGAGGACTTTTGGGGCAGTCTGGGCTCGCAGAATACCCAGGCACTCGGGTGGAGGCATGTGGGCATCTGGTCTACCTGTACTAGCACAGGCTAGTGCTGGGTATATCCACCCTACCTGATTACACTGCTCCACACAGGCAGAGTGGCTGCTTCTCAGTAGAAAGAGCCTTCAGCTCTATATGTGCTTAGAGCCAAGTTCACGTCACTCTTGAATGGGTAGCACACCCGGATACCTGGTGACGTGAGGCTCTATCAGCTTAGTAGGGTCTACCTGTGCCCTCCCTATAGGTCCTGCCACTCCTCAGAGTATGTCATGAAAAGGGGCACAAATTTCCGTATCCCTGGATGGTCCTTGACCACATTACCCCTTCTGGTCCGTGTACCCTTGGTCTGCTTTCCATGGTAGCTTCTGTCTGTCCACCTTCTGTCAGATGTACCGTCAGTGCCCTGGGCTAAAGCCCACCTTCTTGTGGCTCTAGAGCCTAGGACTTTTACACTCAAATATCTTTTTTGAGGGAAAGGAGGCTATGGCATCCTTCCCCAGATGTAATTTATGCCCCCGACTGAATGTGCAAGCATTAGGGAGAAGGTAAAGGCAAATTGGACAGGAAGGGACCGGGTTGGTAACTAAATGTTCTTTCCCACTGCATTGTGGTTTACTGGGAAAGAAAAGCCAGGAAGTACTGGAAGACTGAGGGGTAAACATTCCTCCAAGATTATGTTGCCAGGCCCCTCCCTGAGGTCTGATCATGCCCTGCTGGGATTCGAGAGGAGCTCTTTCCCAGCACCTTAGGATGTTCCCTCACACACACCTGCATCCTGTTCTGTATGCAGAACAGATGGTACTTTCCATTCACCCCACACCATGGAGAGGGCCTCACCAGACCTGGGGCCCACATGACCTGTTGTCTTTTTGATCCCACCTCATCAGCACCCCTATTGAGCATGCTCCAGTGTGCACCAGCCAGGCCACTCCCCCGCTGCTGCCTGCTTCTGCCCAGCCGCCTGCTGCTGCCTCTCCCATTGCGGCCTCGCCAACCCTGGCCACAGCTGCTGCTGCCCATGCTGCTACTGCCTCTGCTGCAGGTCCTGCCTCAAGCCCTGTGGAGAGTCCAAGGTAACTGGTGGTCCCCAGATGCCAGACCTAACATTGGGAAAAGGAGGCAAGAAAGGAGCCACTGTAAGCCTCTTTGTGGGCAGCTAAATAGTTAGGTCCCTGATGTTTTCCAAGGAAGCCAAGGCTGGTACTACTTGGTGCAAAGTGTGAAGGGGAAGTCAGGATGCATTTTGTGGGGTACACCAGTCATGATTAATGAGAGTTTTGTTATTGCTCTACAGCTCCCCCACTCCACCCCACCCCCCGGCCAGGGGAACATCCCTGGTGACAGATAAAAGTCATGTGTGCGTGCAGTGCGCGCGTGCGCACACATGCATGTACATGTGAACATGAGCAACACATCACACATAGCAAAGGAACAGTGTGCACAGTCTTTGTTCTTAGAAGACAGAAAAGTAAGATGACACTCATTCACATGGGCTGGAAGAAATCAAGGAAGGCTCCTTGGAGGTGGGGACGTTGAACCAGTCAGGTCAGACAGCTTAGCTGCTAACTTGCCCACCTCCTCATCCTTTTCTTCTCTTGATGTGGAAACAGTCTAACTTCAGATGCCCCATTGTCCTCGGATTTAAATCCCCCACTCTGTGCAGAGCTATTTGAAACCTTGAGAAAGTGATTTAACCTCTGAACCTCAGTGCCCTCATCAGCTATGATGTCTAAAGATGCACATGTATATTGAGGTCATTATTGGAAAGACTCATCCATAAAGCACCTAGCACACACGAAACAGTTAAAATAAGTCCTTTAAAATCTGGTGTCTCAGCCTATCTTCCTGGGTACCCACCAAAACAGAGGCCATAGGAAGGGGGCATGCAGGGAGGAGGAAGAGGGGGGCTGGGTGGGTCACTCCAGAGTGGCCAGCTGGTACAAGAGCAGGCTTGGCCCAGTTGTGTTTTGTAGGCTTCCAGGAACTGCTCAGCTGTTGTCGGGCCAGGACCCAGACTCCCCAGCACCCAGGGAAAACATGCCTCTTTGGGTCAGGGTGTGCAGGGTCATGGTGCAGCCTGAGGCAGCTTCCCAGCATCCCATGTGGTGCCAAGCCCAGCCTTTCTCCAGCCCAGTTCAATCACTGGGGGTGAGCCTGGTCCTGGCTTCCAGAGTGCTTCTGTCCCATTTGCCTAGGACAGGCTCAGGCAGACTGCCTCCACTCTTCCTCTGCAGACCCTCCTCTCATTAGGACCTTGCTTCCTTCACAGAGCAGGAACTCTGATGAAAGATGAGAGATGTCCCTGTTGTGGAGAGGCGGGGGAAGCCTTCCAACGTGCATAGGGAAAGAGAAGTCCTGGGTGCCGAAGCCCACGAGCAGTCTAGCCCCAACCCTATCTCTCACTGAAGGGCAAACTCCAGCTCCATGCTCCAGGCCTCCATGTCCGGGCTGCCCACTCACTGCTGATGGCCTCAGGAGACCCCCATGAGGGTGAATTCTTCCTTTTCATGACCTTATCAAGAGAGCAGAGGAGGATTCCACAGGGCACTGGGCTACACTGGGAGGGGTCAGGGAGTGCGCTCTGAGCACAGATGCCTCCCTTCCTTACATGTGGGCTCAAAAAGAGCTGGAGCTAGGGGTGCTCGTTGGATGTACACCTTGGCCCTTCACCAGATATCTTCAGCTTCTGTTTCCTTTCCCCATGCCGATCCAGGATGCTGGCAAGGTATTCCCCAGTGGTAGGAAAGTCTGGCCCTGACCCACTGGCCTGGAGCTTCATCCAGCCACACAGAAGCTGGGCACCCTTTGCATACTGTGTCCTCCTTTCCACCAATGTGCTTACCCCTCTGCCCTTAGCACAGGGATCTAGCCACAGAAGGGCAGAGGAAGCCTTAACTATAAATGTGGTGGGAAGGGAAAGGAAGGATGCATAGCCCCCCAGGGCTGGGATGCTGCTCTGAAGATTACTTTACCTCTGCCTGGGACAGTATCCAGACTTCCTTGGGTCCACTCAGGTTATCAGTGGCAGATTGTTATGCCAGGGCCATCCCTTCCAGAGACCAATCCTTCATTCCACAGCTTGGCCCAGCAGGTCCAGTTGGCCCATAGGGAAGAGATGGAAGAGACACAGGATGCCAAAGGTTGGGGTGTATTTCTAAGGTTCATTTCTCCAGCATCTCACCGATGGCTCATTTGCTGGGTATGGTCAAGTGTCCCCTTTAGGATACAGAACATATAAGGAGGGAAAGCTATTCATCCGTTTGAAATGAAGAAAAAGGTTTCACAAACAAGTAAGACTGGGAAACACTGCATCAGGCAGGATTAAGCTTCTGGATGCTGGGAGTCCCTGGAGCCTTCAGCTCCCCCAAGAGAGAGGCCAGGTTCAGCAGGTTCCTGAGGGCAAAGAACTGGGACACTTTCGTACATCTCCTTGCTACCATTGTCCCTGAGCCACGTGTGGGAAAAGGCTGCTTGCTCTAGAATCTTGACAGCTGAACCAATGGGAGGAAGCAATTGTCTAAGAAGTAGAGTGGTTTGTCGGGGAGCTGCTGGGCCTCCTCACTTCTTCCCATGAACAATGTCAGAACATTTTTTTTTTTTTCTCAAAAAACATGAGACTGCTGCTTCCTCCAGCAGCAACATAAAAGAATAAGATAAGGAGGCCAGGTGGCCAGGGCGTCCCAGAAAGGGGAGCAGCTGTGACCATCTCCATCTCCCTGCTCTCCTCCCTTTCTCCCTCTGCCTAGGTCCACAGTCCTCCGACTACAATTCCCTCTGTGGATGAAGCGCTTTCCGTGTGTTCTTCTGCCTGGCTGGCACCTTCCCTCTCTCTTTTCCAAGGTGGCAGAGCTAGCCGCAGGGAGCAGCTTCATCCCCTCTAAGACCCTTGGGCTTCTTCGTAGACTCTGGAAACAATCCAATGGGTGTTTCTGTCATAGCCCTGCCTAGAGATCAGATAGCAAACCGGCCATGGCTTTGGGTACCGGAGACCAACGAACTGTTCTTCTTATAACTCCTCTGTCTTGGTTCCAGGCCACAGGCCTCTGCCTACAACCCCGAAGCAGTCACTTCTCCAGCACCCTCTGCCCACACCAGCTACAGTGAGGGTCCAGCTGCCCCTGCACCCAAGCCCCGAGTCGTAACCACTGCCAGCATCCGGCCTTCTGTTTACCAGCCAGGTGAGAGCCAGAGGGAGGTGGGGGCAGGGGCGCAAAGGGTCATCTGCTCCACGCCAAGACCCAGAAGTCAAGGAGGCTCAGTTCTCCCTGCCCGCCCCTGGTTGCAGGGTGGAATCCTAGGGCGACTTCGAGCCTGAGTTTGACCTTGGAAGACAGGTGGGCTGCACCAGGCTGGGATGGAGCCATCTAGCTCTTAGGAAAGGGATGCTCATGGCTGGATGTTTCCAGACTAAGATGAGAAAAAAGAGGGCTGGGGATTGGAGAGCGGGGTGGCCGAAGTCAAAAGCTGTTTCTCTGAGAATCTGGGTCAGCCTCAAACTGAAAGACAAGAAACTAACAAAAATGCCCCAGGCTTTCGGCCAGGTTACTGTGTCACTTTGTCCTTTGAGCAAGCTGCTCAGCCAGTCGGGTGACACAGGACAGCTGGGGCACATGTGACATAGCAGTAGGGGGTCTCCTCACAGTGGACCCCAGGCAGAACTCCTTGGTTGCAGTCCTGTCTCTGTGGCCCCTTCCAGTCAGTGCCCAGGGTTTTCCTCCAGGGCTGAGAGGTAGCCTGTTTCCTAATCTCCTAGGCAGAATGGGTCTTCTTCCTCGGAGCCCAAGGTAGGTCTCAGGCTGGTGCAAGGCCCACTTTCCTGTCAGCCATTGCTCCAAGAACCCAAGAATGCACTAGGAGGTTTTTGTTTTTGTTTTTGTTTTTTATTTGTTTGCTTCAGGTTCTCCCTGTTTTTGGTTTTTTTGTTTTGTTTTGTTTTGTTTTTTTTTCCCATGTGCTCTGGCTCTGCCTATAGGAAGGCCCTTGACATCCAAGCCCTGCATCTAGTCACTGTCTTCTGAGTTCTGATCCTGAACTTTAGGAGGCCAGGGCTGTGACAGACTTTCTCTTTTGTATATGTCTGACTTGAGCTTGCCATGAGGAGACATCCAACAAAGGTGTAGAAAAATAGACAGGGGCTAGAGGTGTCAACTTGGTGGTAGAGTGTGTGCCTAGCACATGTGAGGCCCCTAGGTTCAGTCCCTAGCCACACACACACACACACACACACACACACACACACACACACATAGACGCATGCACACATGACAGACAGGTGGACAGGCAGGCAAGCAGGCTGATGGCGAACACATCAGAGTGACAGAGAGACCATGAACTTGCATTCTGTACTCCGGCAGCTGTGCACACATGGGGAATGAATCTTAAGTATTCTTATAATGATCACTTGGTGTTCATTTCACAGGCTGACAAAATAGGATTTTAGGTGGGCACATTATTTCCACTTAATCACTGTACCTTCATAGCCAGGCAGTGGTGGTGCATGCCTTTAATTTCAGCACTCAGGAGGCAGAGGCAGGTGGATCTCTGTGAGTTCAAGGCTAGCCTGGTCTACAGAGTGAGTTCTAGGGCAGCCAAGGCTACACAGACAGACCCTGTCTTGAAAAACAAAAAAAGAATGAAACATTATACCTTCAGCATGTAGTTATTGTTATCTTGAATTTATAGAAAGCAACGATGATTTTCCATTTACTATCATAATAAAATGTCTTTCTCTCCTCAAAATTATTATACACATATAATTTGTTTTGCTTTTGAGACGGGGTCTCTCTATGTAACCTTGGCTGTCCTGGAACTAGCCCTGTAGACCAAGCGGGCCTTAAACTCAGATATCCACCTGCCTCTGCCTTCCAAGTACTGGG